GGTTGGAGTTGGTTTTTAGATTTGCTTCATCGATATATGATTGGGGGACATACTAGGTTGTGTATTATATCAGATAGATATGTAGCGATAAAGATTTTTATGGAACATATTTTTCCCGAGCCCACTAGATATCATCGATATTTTTCATGACACTTTACAAGTGACTTTAACATAAAGTTCAAAAAATATTTCCTTGAAAAATATGTTATATAAGATGTGTGTAAACCCTTTTAAACAGGAGTTTGACATTTTATATGAGGAGTTGGTGGAAACAAATGATGCAATAAAAGCATGACTAGATGTTGAACCTAAAGAAAAATGAGTATTATCTTATGATTATGGTGGTCATCATTATGACAATTCGACCATGAACTTTTTGGAGTTTTTTTAATGATGTTTTAAAAACTATTAATAGCTTGCCTGTTTTAGCTATAATGCAAATAATTTTGTTTTACCAGATATATGTTGATACCAGATTGGGTAATATGATAATTTGAACTATCTAAACTTATACCAGATTATGTTGATATCAAGGAGGAGCTGTACAATGTTAGTCACCAAGGTAAGTACGACGGTAATTGATTGGTAATTCATTCATCTTACCTTGATATTTGATATGCTAGGAGAGATCATTTTTTAGGAGCAACAACTTATAAGTGACATAGATATACCTATATGATATAGTATATATCCATTACATGTTTCATTACACCGATTTAGTTGTGTTTCCTAAGACATTCATGTAATCTAATACACTATGCCTTCGAGTATCTGAGACAGAATTAATTAGTATGCAATAATATTTTACATTTATTAAAGACTAGAATAATTTTATTATGGATAATGACTACTAATTGGTTTTTGATGTATGTATATAGATTAATTACCTGGTAGAAGAAGCTCAAAAAACAGCAATGACTATTCATGAAGGTGTCAATGAAATGTGACATTATGGCCACCACTAAGCTCAATTTATATCATGGCAGACTTCAAGAGGTTGGGGAGGCTGAATGATCTGACACAACATTAACGAAAGATGAGATTGCTTATGGTAGGAGTGTTAGGGATGTTGGCCTATCTATAAGCATCCCAGGCCTATCCATGAGCATCTTAGAACTGTCCATGAGTTGTGATGATATTGGTCCTCCTCAAACCTATATAAATATCATAGACTCAAACTCAATTATATGGATATCATTGACTCGAACTCAAATTGGATCAGCTGAGGAGATTATCAGATATAATTATATATAACTACATGTTATGATAATTATGAATAGTGGTATAGTTAGTTTAATTTTTAATAAAATGTTATGTTTTCTTAATTGTCAGTGTACATTTGTTATTTGCAATTTAATACATTATGTGTTGCTTATGTGAATTGTATTTTAATGGTGAAGAATTGGTTATTTTTGGTAGGAAGTTACTGACATATTAGACTACTCCTAGATGCCTCTGTTAAAGGAGTCGCATATACTATCTGCGAAACACGAGTCATATATGGCATTTGCGACAATGGAGTCATATATGGCATTTATGACTCACGTGTCGCAGATGTCATTTGTGACTCTCTTAATTATGTTAGATTTCTAATTATTTTTCCTCATGGGTTATTTTACAAATTATTTTTTTAAAATGTACTAACTTACCAAAACACTCCCTGAAATACTATCGTTACATATCATGACTTTTATTTATTATTGATTACTAGAATGACTTTTGTTGCTTCCATTCTTGTAATTCATTCCATTCTTGTAATTCAACAAAGAAAATAAGTTAAATTTAACCAAAGTTATGACTTGAATTCTTGAAGTAAAAATTGAAACCCGAGTTCCTTAAATGTATGTGGAAAGATAAACTTAGAATCATATTTATAATATCTAACCTAATATTTTCCCAACTCAGGACTCAAGTTATGAGTTAATTTCCAAGTAGATATATCAACTCAAATTATATTTTTTTAAACCACGTTGTTTTAGGTCTTTTTTTTTTTGAAAAAAAAACCAAATTAAAAACAACATTGATTTGAGTTTTTTCTAAAAGTATATTGTTTTGATAAAAAACTGGATAAAAATAAACTTGGCTTATACTTGACTTTGACTTTAGATAAATAGATCACTAAGTTAAGTTAACCTATGGAGCTTTGTAAAAATTTATAACCATGCTTTGAACTATGGCTAGAACTTGGTGTATAAGATTTTATAACTCAAACCATCGGACAACTACACCTACCATTGTGAGTTAGCATGACTTTTCAAGCAATATGGATACTAACTCACTACATTATACTGTACTTTAAAAAAGTGTGAGAAAAACATTGTGCATTTAATGTGGATGTAGACTCATTAAACTGTAAACCACATCGTAGATATAAAGTGTTTACACTGTGGATGATACTATAGCACCTATGAAGGCATTGTATTTTCTGTGTTTAGTTAAAAATTGATGATGGGCACTCTCTATAAAAAAAGCTTTCGAAAAGCACGAAGAGCTAAGCCATTAATGTCGTGGTGAAGGTTAAACCTTAGAAAGTCAGTAAAGAAACTAAGATTTTATATGTTATATCCTTTCAATCAAGCGAGAAGCATGAAGAGTTAAGCCACTAATGTCGTGGCGAAGGTTAAATCTTAGAAAGTCAGCGAAGAAACTAAGATTTCATGTGTATATATCCTTTCAATCAAGCGAGAAACTTCTATGGACGACTTTCATTCCCTTTTGATTTTAAAGAAGTACAAAAAATAAAAAGACAAAATGGATCAAGCTACCCGCAGGATCTAATAACATTGGATCTTGTGGATATTGGGTCTGAATGCCTAACAGGACCTAATAAGGTTGGGTTTTGTAACTTGTAGCATTAGGTCCTGCCTCCAGTATGACTCAACCTATAGCATTGGGTCCTGCCAACCTGTAGCATTGGGTCCTGCCTCCAACAAGACCCAAAAGCATTAATAATATAATAGCTAGTATATTGGCCTATGCTCCATAACGGGTCAATAATATTTTTTTAAAATATAAAAATGCTTGAGTTGAGTTAAAAACATGGAATGTATTTGCTTCATTACTATCTTCAAATAAAATATTTTTTATACCATCAATAGGGCATAGTGGAGCAGTACCTAATATATTGACAACTAATTTATTTTCTTTTCATGTTTTTCAATTTAAGATATTTTGATGATATTTTTTTTATTCAACTTGATTTAATTTTCTTATTAAAGCATGCTTGTTGTTGCTTTTCAAAAAAAAAAAATTTAAATTATATTTTTTCTTTTCTTCAAATTATTTTTTTCAAATGTTTTCGAGACTTGGATGAGTTATTGATGCATGAAGAGATACAATCGAGTGTGCTATTGAATGTTTGTTTTTACTTGAGTGAAAAATTAGCAATTTAGTGACATTTTACACTGGACTTTTAAGCATTTCAAGTTTGGTTAGATTTGATTATAATTTTATAATGGAGTTTAGAGAGGTTAAAAATAGGAGTAGAGGTAGATCAAAAAAGCAAAGGCAAAACGAGAAGGAAAGTGAAGATAAGAAATTTGGTCTTGTTGCTAGTAGGACCCAATGATTCTAGAGCTAGCAGGACCCAATAGAGTTGGGTTCGACTGTATTGTAAAACCCATTAGCATGAGATCTTGCTGCTATCAAGATCCATAATGTTGCGTCTAACCTTAAGCAGGTCTTAAAATGTTGATTCCGGGTACTCAGCCAGATCAAATAACTTTTAGACTCCTAAGCCAGAGTCAATGCTATTAGGTTTAACTTGACAATTAAATCAAATACTATTGATCTATATTTGTAATTAAATTAAAAATTATTTTAAATTTGACTTTACAAGACAAGAGATATTTATTATATTCTTTATATTTTTTATATTTTTTAAAAATATTAATGACCTCCTAAGAAACGCAAACCACTATCCTGGTAATTAGTATGTGATGTTCATGAAAGTAAAATGAGAGATAATTGAGTGATATGTGACTTTTCAGCATGTGATGTGCATGAAAGGAAAATGACAGATAATTGAGTGGTATGTGAGTTTTCAGCATGTGATGTGCTAGTATGTGATGTGCATGAAAGTAAAATGACAATAATTGAGTGATATGTGACTTTTCAGCAAGTATGTGATGTGCTATTAAGTAATATGTGAATTGTATGAAAGTAAAATGACAAATAATTGAGTCATATGCGACTTTTCAGCTAGTGGGGTGGCCTAAGTTTCAAAGTCATATGTATGGCCTCTAAGTGCTGTCAATGTAGTGCTAATAAAACATTATTATTAGCCCTCAACATCTAATTTAGTGTTTTTTTTTTATTTAGATTTTCTTAATTATAGTAAATTAACTATATACTTTTTTTGCTAATAAAAATAAAATATGAGTACCTGAAGATATGAAATTTTCTATATGATCTCTTATAATTTTTACCTTATAGAAAATAAAATCATTTAAATTTTTTTGAGGTTAACTCATTATCAATATTTCACATTTATGATCACATAATTTTTCTTATTTTTAAATAGATTTAGGTATTATTTTTTTAAAATTAAATAATTAAAGACTTACAGTTAACAAATCAAATTTTAAATATTATTCTTACACCGAAAACCGATACTCCAAACACATTTCCCTAATCACAACTAATTTATTTTTCAATCTAAGTTTACTTGAGAGAATTATTCAATTATTAGGCTAAAACACTGTGTCATGATGATCAGTGATGAGCTGGTAAAAATCACACATCATAGGGTATATAGAAGATATATTGATTTCGGGTGCTGAGTTTTTTTTTTTTTTAAAAAAAAAGAATTTGTACCGGTTTTAGCAGGAACCCTAGTGCGCGATTATTTTTCTATTTTTCTTTTATTCTAACTCGGTAATTTTACATGAGAGTTTCAGTATTTCAACGGAATAATTTGAAGGTTAATCTGTAAGAATACATTAAATGATAATTTTCTCTCAATCATTTTCATTATGGAGGATGATATAGTTTTGACTTACGAAGTGGCCTGCCCCAAGAATCCAGAAGAAATTCAGGTTTTTGTACGACCTGGTAAATCCTTTTGTGAGCTGTCGTTCTGCACCGCAAAGAAGAGGAGTTCTGTTCATGCTCAAAAAACTATCCAGCCCTTCCCACCTGAAAAATGTATTATCAGTCTGGTGATTGCATAACCCTTTTTTTCTTTTTTATATATATATAGAGGAGGAAAGTAGTAATGATAATATCTAATAAAAGAAAAATAAGGCACCCTCTTACTTGAGTTTTTCAACCCATGCTTCGGTTCCCTTGGTTGAACAAATGAGATCAAGCTATATGTAACAAGCAAGGAAATAAATTTATTATTTTAAAGATGGGAAAATTATCCTATACAATCATCAGATTACCTTAATTAATTACTTGTTAATCAAAGTTAAGCCTTTTTTTTAAGATTATTTTAATATCACATCATATTATGCTTTTCAAAAAAAAAAAAGAGTAAATCATAAGAGCACATGGACTAAATTATAATTTTATCTAGTAAGCTTCTTAATAAATAATAGACAAGATATTTTAATATTCACATCAATGATTCATAGACATATGGATGATGCACATGGTGGACCATGGGGACCCTAAACCATTCCTTAAGGTCCATGCTAGCTAGCACGGAGAGAAATCATACTTGCCCATTGTATATAGTCACATTCACTCCCTTAGCTAGGAGTTCATCAACCTACAAAACATAAGGAGATGAATAAATAAAATAACACAATAATAATAATAAATTCCATTGGGTATATACATATAGCTAGATCTCATCATGAGTTATGCGTTTAGTGGAATTGTCAATTTCCTCCTCCTTCGGTTGCATTTAAAATGGGAAAAAAATAGCAAAACATTACTTAGAAAGAAAGAAAACAAAATATTCTTCACCAAGTATAAACTTATAGTAGTTAGAGTCTCGAAAGATAGATTTACATTTAGAACAATATTACACTATAATCATTAACTTAAAAAAAAATCCCCTATTTGGAGCCTATCTTCAACGGAGTAAAAAATTATATATATATATATATATATATATTATTTTATTTTATTTAAAAAAAATAAACAACAAGTTTTTAATAAAAATATTGGCCAGATAACCAAGCTCTCTTTTATGAGCTGGGGATATACTCTTTGATGATATTATTTTGATTTTTAACGGTTATCAACATATATAACCATGAAATTCTGGGATCTAATCAAGCTTGACCTAGTAATTGAACAAAGAAAATTAGGACAGCACCTCATTAATTCTCGGTCTCATAAAATCGCCTTCCAGCTGGTTGAAAACGTTAGAAGACTGCTCTCCCCATCTGTAATTAAACACCGAAAAGATTGTTCAGTGATGGATCGATTGATTACCTCTTAATTAGATGATAATTAATTACTTGAGCAAGAAGGAAACATACGAGAAATTAGCTGGGATTATCTTAAGCTTTCTTTTAATGACCCCATTCATTATGCTATCAAGATCACCGACACCACCTCCTGGAAGTGATGACCTCTGAGAGATTATATATCTTGAGTAGCTCCTCATTGCATTTTTTTGCGATAATTCAGCCGCAGCTGTAGTTAGAGACACAGGGTCCGATCCCGAATCCAATAAAAAATTATAGAAATCCTGAAAATATTGCCACAAAAATATATAGTTCAAAGTGTTCGTTGAATTCTCATAAAAGAAATGAAAATTAAGAGAACAGTGAAGAATACCACAGAATTGCTGTTAGCACTAATCACTTCCTCAAGCTCAGACCAAGAATTTGTTGCGTCAGCATACTGACCTTCGCGGATTTGCTGCCTAATCTTCTCAGCCAGGCTGTATTGTAAAATAAAAGATGTTAATACTAAGACAATTTGTCAATATTTAATTTGTTTTCATTAAGAACACGGCAATAGCTTGGACCTGTTTGCCTTCTGAAGTCCGTTGTTGTCGAGCCTCGATAAATCTTTTAGAAGAGGACCCCACGAAAGCTGGAAACTTCAAATTTGTAATATCAGAATCCAAAAATTCAGCAGGGAAAATAATCTTTTCTGTCTAACACAAGAGATGAAATACGCAAACAAGACTAATTAACTTGCCACAAAATCTTCTGGTGAGATCCAAGTGTCACCCAACGCTACTCCTGCGTGTGCAGAAATAGCCTGTAAATTTGTTTCGATCGTGTTTCTTTAACAGAAGATTGATTGGCTGGCAAGAAATTAATGATTACCTCCAAGTATAAGTTTCAGTTTTCCTGCTTCAATTGCTTTCAGAGCTGATAAACCAAGAGTGACAGCAAATTTGCCTCCATAAGACTCTGCTACAATATACAAAGGACTCTTCTGAAGGCTCTCATTCCGATTAAATACTTTCTCCAACAGAGTAGTTAGATCACTTGCTGCCTCGTCATCAGTTTTGACAAACAAGTCTGCATCACCCTCTTCCACAAAACTGTATCCTGTGCCGACTGGATTATCCTGCACAATCCCCTCAAAGAATAAGTCAAATAGGAGAGAAATCCTGAAAAAATATATATATAGATAGTGGATGAGAATTACCACAAAAAGCAGATCAGCCACTTGTAACCATGTCGAATTCCGGGGCTTCAGATAGGTATCCAGCGGCCCAATTTCTTCAAAATTTCCCATCCCAACACCTGATCCTCCCTGTTTTGTCAAACCAAACATTAATTAATGGAGCATTTTGATACCAAACATTAGCAATTAGGTACTCACAGGTCCACCCTGCAACCAAAGAATGATTGGCCATGGTTTGGATGAATCTTCGACTCTGTAAGGACTCCTATAAAGCCACCAAAACATGTGTGCTCCTGGTTAACACAAACCAAGATGGGCACATTTTCAATTACTAATAGCATACATAAATAAATATAAAGAATGAAAACTGAAACAGTTTGCTTACTTGGTCTAACTTCCACATATCCCCATTCTTCTGATCCATCACGGGTTCTTGCACCAGTGGCTACCTTTTTTCTTGAAGCGGCAGTGACTGTTTCTCCATTAAGCAAAGAAACCAAGAACAGAACAGAAACAAGAAAAAAACACAACTTTCCCATTTCCAGAAACCAAGCAGACCAGTAGATGCCGACTTCACAGACTGAACAGAATCATGTAGTAAAAGAGAATAAAGATAAGCAGGGGAAAGAATATGATTCAAAAGAATTGTTGTCTGTAATAGAAATAACAAAAAAGCAGAAACTTCTATAGACAAAATAAAAGGGTGTTCAAAAAATTAGGAATCAAGAAAAAGACTCTTTTTCATCTTTAAGGGCAAGTTGCTTAAAACAGTAGCTATTGTGCATTACAGTAGCCAAAACATAGCTGTCAAACCGGAAATTAACATGATGAACCGGGTTTTCAAACCATCTAAAACCTCTCTCTTGCTTGCTCAGAAACCATTTCATTTTTAGCTAACAAAAATCAATTTAGATATCAATATCAGATGCCAGCAAATTACTCAATGTCTCCAGGCGAATTTACGTTTATTTTGAGAAAATCACGGTTTGTTTCTTTTTTTTCCCTTTTCTTTTTCCTTTTCTACGACTAATCAGAGTATTTTTTTTTCCTGGTATTTAACATTCGTAGAAGTAATTTCATTTTATGGGGTCAAAAGAATCTAATTCTTTAAATACCGATTTCATTCTAAAATAATCAAAATTTTCCATGCAAAAATAGAACTAAACTCTGCCCATTTTTCTCTTCTTATTGTTACTTTCCATAATTTGCTTAGAGCATCTCCAATATGGAAAAAATCATTTAAAAATGCTAAATTATTGATATAGCTTTTTAAATAGTGTAAATATGATTTTTTTTAATGAGCACTTGAAAGGAAAAAAACCATTTTAACAAGTAATTTGTACTTTAATATATTTAATTTAATACTTTTGGATTTTTTAAGAAGAACTTTGAGAAAATTAAATAATTTATTTTAATAGATATATAGAAATGATTTTTCTTTAACAGAAAAACCATTTTGGCTATTCGCTTGGCTATTCCTGTGAAGCTGCAAAATCAAGGGAAAAAAACTAAAATTTGTTTTTTATTTTTAGCTCTTCATCTGCCTTTTTCAATGGATAAACCCTTACATATATGTGAATCACCATAATTTTGTATAGATTAATAATAATTAATGCTTATCATAATTATGATTATCCATTAAATCACTTTCTAAATAATTTCAACTATGAGAGATCTTTCGATAAATTACTTCGGATAGAATATTTCTAAACTTACCATTGCTTGAGAATATTAGCATAAAAAACTTGAAAATGTTTAACATCTTGACTGTTTTCACTAGAACGTACGTCATGGAGTAATAAGAATTTCACATATTTTATGCTGATATTATAGAATTGAATTGATAATTTAGAGACCTCATATCCGTGCATCCCGCTGTTTAGGATTCAGAACATACCTATGGAAACTAATTCTTTTGTTGTTACAAAAAAGACAAAACAAAAGACACCTTGTCTTTATTAGGTGGATGTGGATCAAGATCTAGAAGTCTTTACCTTCTTCTATGTGAAAACGAATATTGTTATGTGGAAATTTTGTTTTCACATTGCAAGTAATAGAGAGCCTGCGCGTGTGGTGCAGAAAATTTCTAGTGAGTTTTGAATAAAAAACAGATTCTAATGTATAAATATAAAACACAAGTCATAATACGAAAAATCATATTCTAGGAGATAGGATGGGCTATCAATGATTTGTGGTGCAGAGATTGTGTCGGGGAAGTTGTTTTTTTGCTGTGAAGCGCGGAAAGGTATTTATAGAAGAAAGGATGGGCTTTGGATTACTGCCGTCTATACATTTTATAAATAAGTTCCGCAGGTATAAAAATATAAAAATTAAAATTTAATAGTAATTTGTTAATTGATAAGAGCTTTGTTAATAAAAAAAATTTAATTTAAAAAAAAAATTAAATAAAATGTTTATAGACTCAATTATATTTTATTGAAAATTTAGTTGAATTTATGAAACCATAGACAAACCGATAAATTTTAGACACCACAACTAGACCTTAGATTTTACCAAACACAATAATATAACTTATCTTAGGTAAAACGTAGTTGGGGTGCTAATACCTGTCTTTTACACAACCAATCTCCATACCCCATCTCTGGACCAATTAGGGTTTCTAGTAACCAGAACACTAAGTGGTGACTTCTAGTCTATATTTCTTATCTCTCCATATTTTGCTAGAAGAGAGTATATATCAGTCGATTACATACACATTTTTTAGGTTGGACAATCACCGTGATGCTAGACACGTGCGATAATTATGATGATAGTAAAAAAAAGTTCTTGGTATGGATCAAGATCTTTTCTTACATGGTCACTAATCTTTATAAAACTATTTATTGGCTAGGCTTTGGATTCATGAACTCTTTTAAAATAAATCTCTTATTAGGATAAGAGACCCCTTGATGTTTGAGTTAGTAAACCAAAGTAGGAAAATGATGTATAACAAAGGGAAAAATGAGTATGTGTTATGATTGTTGTGTGTAATATTGTATCATGGCCTATATTTTGTTATATAATAACTTGAGATATTTACACACCTTAGGTGACATGAATTTGTATCGTGGAGAATGGAATTGCTGACATGCCATGTAAGATTTGTTATGGGTAACAATTACCTTTATTGCAGAGGTAAAGGTAACCTATGCAATGAGTTATTGGTATAGACATTATATTAGACAAGGTAGGTGTTATACCAGCCATTGATAGGAAAGATAGACGCTCACATTGATAATTTATAAAACAAATGCCTTATAAACCAGTATGTGGTTTAGGCAATGTTAACATGACCATACCAATAGTTTTTTCTCTCCCTTGTTGTGTTTGGTTGGATTGTATTTGGGAAAGGTTGGGCCATTTTTCTCTCTTTCTTTCCCATTCCTTTCTTGTCTCTTTCGTTAGGCCTTCACTAGGCTCGATTGGATTGAAATTCAAAATTGAATTGAAGAATTAAGGACTAGATTAAAAATGAGGAAAGAAAGTGTTAAACGTGTTTCACATATATACTAGCATGTGAGGAATCCTATTGTAATAAGGCGATATGTGAAGTGTGCTCTAAGATCCAAAAACTATATTCCTTGATGTTATTTAAGTCATCTTAGTGGGATCTTTTTGGAGGCGTGATATGTGTATATAAAAGAGCCATAATGGCATTCTAATGGCTTGCTCTTTCTATATTTCTTTTCTTTTTTTCCCTTTCATCTCCTTAGTTTCTCTGCGTAATTTCTTTAGTTTTTCTCTACTCGATTCAACTTCATTCTCCTTCTATGTGTTTTGATGTGTTGGCCTTGGCAAAACCAAGAGAGGGCTAGATTGGTAACATGACCAAATGAATGATGTCTTCTTCCAAGTGTAGGAGTATCAAAGTAATAAATAACCCAGTAAGACTGAGATCAAATCACAGGGAAGTTAACTATATAAATAATGATGATGATGATTTAAAAAAGGCTTTAAGATGTAAAATTAATGTGAGGATTAAACAATGATAAAAACAGTTTTCAAGGTTAGAGAATTTACTAATGATATTTTAAACAAAGGAAGTTCCAATCAGATTATAAATTGTTAACATGATTACATTAGTTATCTTATTCAAATAATATTGATACTTATAAATGTTGTCAGGTATTCATGACTATAACTTATGTTAATAACAAATCAAGTTCCTTTCATAGCATAGGTGTAGATTAAACCATACGATTGGATTATGAAAGTGTTAAGTATTTGTTATACCAAGTGTTATCCAACATAAATTTAGATTAACCATTTAGCAAGCAAAGTATTAAAATTAAACAAGATAAAAAATACAAAATATGTTAGTATCAAACATTAAATTCCATGCTGAGTTTATACAATATTTATTCTTACACCATTAGTGTAACCTTTTCACCTTAACATAATAAACTTAACTAAATTTAATGAAGAAGAGAAACATAAATAAACAAGATAAGAACAAATATAAAATATGTTAGTATCAAACATTACAGTCCATCTTGATCTGGAAATCAAGATACCTAAATTCATGGTAAAGGCCTCATTTTATAAGCCAAAATTTGAAATTATTGATTTGATAAATAATTGATGAATAAGTGACCACATCTTGACTTGGTGACAATCCTTATCTTCATGTCTGAATAAAACATCATTGATAATGTCAGAATTGGAATTACTTGTACTCATAAAAGTTTTAGAAAATTATCTCAACTTTTTAGGATAAAAAAAAAAATGAGGTCATTTGGACTTCTAGAACTCAAGATATAGGCTAAACACTGAACGGTGTCTAGGGTACATGACAGATTTGGACTTCTTCGTCGTTACTACAATTTAAACTTGAAAATGGCCTTTTTAAAACCAAACATTCATATGGAAGTTGTAGGCCTATGTCTTAATTTTTCATTCATATAAAGTAAACCTAACTCGAAGATCTACAACTCTAGATATGACCTAATTACCAAAAAGTATTTCAGTTTAGACTGCATCAACATATTTTTTTTTTAAGTTTGGTCATCTCTTTGTCATTCAATTTCAGTATTTAAACTCATCAATCAATCCTTTCATTTATGTGATATGCCTACATTTAAGATGAACATTAATCATAAATTAAAGGTATCTTATATTATTAGATATGTTATTATAAAACATGCTTTAGTTAAGGAGTTATCAATACTTCAAATGAAAAATAATGATATAAAACCTTGATAAAAATGCACTTTTAAATACTAATCAACACACTTCTAAGTATGTTGAATGTAAAAATAAAGGAAAGGAAAAGAAGATTTTATAGATGAGAAATTAAAAATACAATCATATCACCTATATATAGGTTAGTTAGAGTCTCTCTCTCTCTCTATTTTTTTAAAACATATGTATGTACAAGCAGTTGTAATTGCGGTTCCCATCTTCCCTTGATTTTACATTCAAGAATGGTTTAAATGCCCTCTATGGGTGGGGGATAAGCTTCCTATCTAGTTTTTCTAAGAACTAGTAAATATGGTCTTTCTTACTCAAATTCCCAAGACTATGACAATCATGTTCTTTATGAAAATCAGGTTATAAATCATGAATTGCACAATACATATCTCCACCAAGATACGTCTCAAAAGTCAATAGAAGATTATATAAAGCTTCTTTATATTTTGAAATAAATCCTAACTTTTAACTTTTTTCACAAGCTTTGCAGGACACGTGTGTCTTTAAACATGGTGGGCCAATAAAATCCACATTGTAACATTTTTACGGTAGTCTTTTTTATGAGAAATTACTCTTACATGCCTCAGAATGACAACATTTAATGACATTACTTATCTCATTATCGGGAATGCATCTTTGAAATATTTGATCATGACAATATTTGAATAGGTAAGGGTCATTCCAATAAAAATTCTTTACTTTGT